CGCGCACACACACACACACACACACACACACACACACACACACACACACACACACACACACACACACACACACACAAAACTGAGCCCCAAAGCCCTCACTCCAGTCTTTCCCTGCGTAGAAGAGATTACAGATGCTATGGGCTCCTGCCTGTTCTTCCAGGCCAGAAGTGTGTGTGAGTGTGTGTTTGGAGTTGTGCACATTGTATCAGGGATTGCCATTCTGCTTCACAGCTTGGCAGGGGTGGCTGGCCAAGACCGTTACAAAAGGCTACTGTGGCGTCTCCGTAGATTGCCTGTTTAGAATACCGTGGTACTAGAGAGGCCAACAGAGAGGAGAGATGGCTGCGCATTGAATGGGCTCTGAGGGAAACAGATGGGATGAAACCAAGCCTGGGAGGGCAGACCTGGGCTATGCGTGCCTGATGCTCCTCAGAAAAATGGAGCATCAACTTAAAAGTGTTTCTTCAACCATGCCGCAGAGTCAGAGACGATTTAAAAATGGAGAGAAAATTTGCACGCTCAACCTTCTGGTCAAAATTTTCTGGTGTGAGGAAGAAGTTGTAGAGTGGCACAAAGTATCCCTCCAGCAGACCCATCAGCAACACCAGATAAACACCATCTGCAAACTGACACACAGAACAGGCAGGTAAACAGAGCAGATGTCTGGTCGGAGACAATGCAGAAGAACAAATGACACCAAAAACAACCCCCCCCCCCAAAAAAAATGTCCTGACCCATTCCCATTTAAGTGGTGCAGAAATGTTTTACCTCTATACCCTCTCAGGCAGACATTTACATGTTATGTGTGTGTGTACGAGCGTCATACCTGCGTTTCCAATTCAGAAACTTCTAAGTTGAGCTTGTTCAGGTGTTTATTCACAAATGTGATCAGTGTCTAAGAAAACACAAAGTCACTCATTGATCAGACACCAAAAAAAAAAAAACCCTACGGAGAGAAATGAAAAATAAGTTCTATTAAAAGGAATAATGCTTGGACAACGGTGGGCTGCACTGCTGTGTATCCCCCCTAGTTGTGACTCTCCCCTCTTACAGACCCAGCCAATGTTAGCTTCATTTGGAAGCAGCCTCAAGAAGGTCCATTTGGGACTATCTCTCACAGTCCAAGATGATTTGCTTTGAACAGCTTAGCTGATGATGCTCTAGGTGTATTTGCTCCAAAGTGCTGAATTTGGGTACTTTGCTGGAGTTCAATGTTGACATATTTACTTGTGGTTAAATGTTTGCTTTAAGACATTTCATATTATAAATATGTGGTTCATGAATCATCAGTGCTTGTGCAAAGCATCACTACCTTTTTGACAACATTCAGTTTATCCGGTGCATGGTCAAACAGGGTGTCAAAAGCATCACGCTCTGTGGGAAAAAAAACATGGAATAAATCATTAAACCCAAAAAGGAAAACAATATGTGAACATAACGAGAAGAAAATTATTGGGTAATCTGTATGTGCTAACAACCTACCATGTCTTCCAGAGAAAGCCCTGGCAAAATTAGAACAAGAGAAGAGAAAAAAAGTGTGTCAAAATAAAAATCACAGGTCATTTCATGTTATTCACAATTTCACAGTTGAATCTCCATAGAACAGGAGAGAATGAAAGACAACGGCTTCCAATTCAACCACAGAGGAATGTGGAGAATGGGAGGGATTAGAAATGACTGAACAATAGACGTAGCTATGGCATCATAATTACATTGTGGAGAAGCACAGTTACATCTCGGCTGTTGAAAGAACCCGGGCATCATTTCTGTGAGAGGTCCACGGTGACTCCATACTGTCACATGATCTTGACAGCAAAACAACACTGCTGGCTACTGATACAATGAATGAAGAGCTGCAGCTTCTCCATGTAAACAGGGGACCTATCATCTCTCATCTTAATGTTTGGAGAGAACATCACGTGTGTCATGATCCTGTTCTTGTGTTTCTCCAGCAGATGGCAGTGTAAGGCTTCTCTTCCAGCATGCACAACTGCTGCCAATTTGATCAACATGTTTACGCCATGTAATTAAGGACTGCCAAGATCCCATGTGCTTGTCGGATTATTGACCTTGTTGCTGCTCTTGC